TGGGAGGGGGGGGTCGATGACCTGTAAAACACTGACAGAGCGCTGTGCTTGAAAACGCGACATCGCAACGCACCGCACTTATACTAGATAGTTGCGCTGCTTGTGGCGCACCTTAAATTGTTTGTGTTGTCACCTTCGTGCTCCTGGCGACGGATCGGTCGTGTTCGAGTATTACGCGGTGTAACCTGTCGAGTATGTGCAGCGAAATTTGTCTGTTTCGTAATAACCAGTCTGTTTTCGAACCGACTTACATGCTGTTTCTACTGTTTACCTGCTGCTTAAGCTGTGACTTACGTTGAAGCCGAACTAAGACCACCGGCAAACAGCCGAGAAGACCCTGCTTAACGTTTCGGTCCGTTCTTTTCTTCGGCATGCGATTACTGAAACGTACTTGAACTTGGCGTTTCGTTTCGTTTTGTGAACCGTCTACCCAAACTGACTGTTCTGTTTCACCGTTCGCCAAGTTAGTTGACAAGTCGCATGCGTTATTTGCCTACCGGGCTTAGTTGCAAATCCGCTTTCACAAAGTTTGACCTCGTCTCTCTGATGGAGGAAACCTTTCACTTTCTGTTCGGCGCTTCAAATATGCTCCTGTGCCTTGAAGAACGCGAGACGACGATCGGATGGTCAAAGCCTGTATTTGGACCGCGGAGCAGGTAGAAAACGACCAGTAGAACATTCTAGGGTTTTTCCGCACGCATAACGACGACAAGTCGGATGACAGATAACGAATGTTGTTTTATAGCATTATTTGTCTACAGGACAGATGCGCTTTTATTTAAAGCTTCAACCAACAGTTTCATAGCGTTGTTTGTATCCGTTCCTGACCATAACAATGGTGTATCTCATGCGCGATGGGGATCAAGCATAATGTGCATTTGTCGTAATGAATCCTGCTCATCACTTGTTCATGAGTTGCGGCGGTTCCCTGTCCATTAAGTAGTCAGCGTGACGAACACATGAACAGACTTAATTTTGTGTTGGTCGAGGATTGATACTGACGGTACACCCGATCCATCCTCTGGCATTTTCACCCGTCAATCTTTGTCCTAAACAGACTCGTCTTAAAGGCCGTTTGCAGTTTTGTCAACTTCCATCGCAGGAAGCTCGCTAGTCCTCATCTGTCGGTCGGGTTCACGGATATCGAAGTGTTCATTTCACGGTGTATCTCGTCCTGCTGCGCGATCCCATGCTGCAGTCACTGCTCCCTCTCCGCAACCGGGGCAGTGAGGTCGCATCATTATAGTTGTTCACTTTCGATCATACATTCATTCCCTGATCCGTTGATTGGCATACGTCGAACACGCGTGAGTTCAGAGCTACGGCGTGTTCTGATTTCAAACGTCACGATGATGGCTTCTTTACAAGTAAGGCCAGGTCGCTACAACCTTATTATGTGATCGATCGTTAATCATTTACTGTTCATCGCAGCGTTTCGCTAATATCGGAATGGCGCCTGAGAGGGGTTCGCTCGGGTCCTTCGCCTTCGAATGTGCTCCGGTTACTCTGGTCGTTCATTCGACCAATTTCGCCGAAATCTGCGCGCTCCACCTTCTTCGCTTTCAACATTCTTTGTACGCCGGTAACCCTGAAGGTAAGGCAAGTTGAGAAAAAGAAAACGCCACATAAACGTGACAAGACACGAGCTCTGAGAATTTTTGAAGTTTGCGGGAATTTCGAAAAAATGTCGTGCATTTTTTATGGATAGGCGTCAGGGCTTTCACACCGCGATTAACTGAGGAGTTTACTCTCCTGTTACCGAGATATTGGTTATTGCGTGCCCGAAGACACCTATCTGAGTATCGTTCCGCCTGCGAGAAAATGTGTATGTGAAGAAATGCTCAGAGGCGTTGTATCCTTCAAAGGACGGGATGGTGGCATAAAATAGAATATTTAACCAACATTTGCAAACCGTCCATAGAAACAGAAATGTAAAAACTTACTGTCTGATCATCGTAGTAACTGATACTGTAGAACTGCCGAACGATACAGCAGACTTATAACGAACAGTCTACTTCCATGAGGATGTTTCAGCGTGGTGATGTGCTTTAAATAGCTAGAGCAATATGAATGGATCAATCAGTCTTTTATAGAACACTGCTCTTGCATGCATGGGCACAGATTTCCACAGATCTTCTTCAAGTTTTATGTCTAGACACAGACTGGTACAAGTCAACAGCGTGTAACGGAGTTGAGTATCACTTCGCACTTCTGGATGGTACCTGAAACGAGGCGGGCGAGTTTGGACATGATTAAAAATTGTCAGAACTGATGTTGAGTTTCTCTCCGGGTCGGCAGTTTACTGTTCCAAGCGGTCGAAGAAAGACCCGTCGCTGTTCTTATGGTGGATATTGCGCGTGGTCTGCAGCCATAACATCCGAAGCAGCAATTGAACGAAACCGTATCTCGTCCAGCAGAAACTTTTTGCGATGAATGACAGTATTTAGGTGGCACATGATCGGCTGTAGTTGAGGCAACAGCGTTTTTCGATGATGCCTGCAGTGCAAACTTGTCGAATATCGCGCCAGAATGTGCGGCAATCGGCACTGACCAGATCTGGGAATGTCACTCTTTTTCGTTGAGGCTGAAAAGCAGATCTTCCTCAGCAGCTTGGCTCCTGGCTGAATGGCTTGATCGGGTCTTGTTTGCGAAAGTAAAGTGACGAAGGCGTGCTTTCATGACTACTGCATCACCTGAACCGGCCAATATTCGGCGACCGATCTCTCCGGCAGCAACGCTTTGCGTAACGGAATGGCACGTTAGACGGTGACCTGCGGAATTTCGTACAGAACTAACTGTCTTCGATTCCGTCCTGTATTTTTCAATCAAAGACATTTCTTCTGGCGTTAGACGAGTCGACGTCTAACCGCAAGGCAGCCGTGACCCTAGTGGCGATTTTCTTCAGGGGACGGGTCGCTTTCGTCTGATCATGAAACTGCCATTGGGCATTGTGACTTGTACTTCTCTGATGTTCGAATTTGTCGAGCTGGAACCCATCCACGCCACGGTGGTCTCACCGCTGGGTCTGTTCGCGCTAGCCCTTCCCTACATCGAGTTCCGCAGCAACCCAGCGAACGACGCGCGCGCCGGATGGCCAGCGGCTGGACACATCGACCTCCGCATGAGCTTTTGTAAACGCGTACGGTGCTGATGGGCGGCGCTAACAAACTCTTGCCAATCATCGAAGCCGATTGCTGGCATCATCGGGCGTGACGTTGCACGACGGAAGCTTCTTCTAATGCTTAAGCAGTGTCGCCGCGTTTGCGGACGCAGTCATTGGTGTGTTTATTGCTGCCTTGTATCACACACTGA